TCAAATTCACAGCAGTAATATTCCTTCAAAATAACGTGTCTTCGTTTATACGACAGCAAATGAATGAAGAACTTCCGAAATAAGAATAGTTTGTGATGTCAGAACATCGTTTTCTTCTTGACAAAATATTCAAATCCGCACGTAATAAAAATAGGAACACCTCGCTATTTGTGTACGCCTACATTTTTGTGTGGGCGTATATTTTCGTTGTCCCTGTCCGTCCACATTTTCGTGTGGACGTATGTTGTCGTCGCCCCTGTCCGCCCGTCCGTCCACAATTTGTTTATGGACACTCTACAGCTCACAATTTTTATCCACTTTCAACAAAACTTGAAATATAGGTTTATGCCCCTAAGATCTCGCTTTCTTTCAATATTGGCATGTATCGGACTGTAACTTCATGAATTATGGCCCTAGATTGTATGAAAAATCCTGTTTTTAGCTTGTGAACACTGTAGAGGTCACAATTTTTATCCGATTTGGTTTAAACTTGAAATGTATGCTTATAACCCAAAGATCTCTGTTCCTTTCGATATTCGTGCATATAGGACCATAACTTCCTGAATTATGGCCCCTGATTGTACAAAAAGTCGCGTTTTTAGCTTGTAGCCCCCTCTAGAGGTCACAATTTTTATTCGATTTCAAAAAACGTTTTAATATATCACCGTTCCCCGTTAATGATGGGGACGCTCTAATTTCGTGAAAACCGGACGAAACTGCAGGACAAAATGACCGCCCCTCGTACACAAATAGTGTAAAAGTATGTAATTCCAGCGTTGGGGACACGCTCGAGGTCACAATTTTTGTATGATTTGAAATATGTTTAGATCCCAAAGATCTCGGTCCCTGTCGATATTGGCGCATATCTCACCGTAACTTCGTGGAATATGACCCCTGATTTTTACGAAAAATCGTGTTTTTAGCTTGAAGTTATTCTAGATGTCATAATTTTTATCCGATTATAAAAAAACGTTTCAATATATCACCGTTACGCCTGAATGACGACTAAGTTCGAATTTCTTGAAAATCGGACCGAAACTGTCGGACAAAATGGCCACTCCTCATACGCAAATAGTGTAAAAATATGTAATTCCAAGATTGTGGACACTCTAGAGAACACAATTTGTTATCCGATTTTGATAAAACTTAAAATGTATGTTTACATTCCAAAGATCTCGGTTCCGTTCTATATTCGCTAATATCACACCGTAACTTCCTGAGTTATGACCCCTGAATATATGAAAAATCACGTTTTTTTAGCCTGTAGTCCCTCTTAATGTCACAATTTTTATTCAACTTGATCAAACTTTTATATATACTTTTATATCCCAAAGACCTTGGTTCCTTTTGATATTGTCGCATGTCAGTCTGTAACATACTGGATGATGGGCCCTGATTGTACGAAAAATTGCTTTTTATTTTGATTGTTCTCTGTCCATCTCTTGCAAAATGTGGGCGTATCTTGCATGGCAACCGCTTATTCATATTTAATTCCCGTATGGTATTCAAATTTATGTCAGTAATATTCCTATAAAATTACGTGCTTTCGTAATACGATAGAATGAAATTTGCCGATCCGTGCCTACTTCAATCAAATTCATGGCAGTAATATTCCTCCAAAATTACGAGTCTTTGTTTATACGGCAGCAAATGAAAGAAAGACGTCCGAAATGAGAATTACTTGTGGTGATGTCAAATCATTTTCGGAAAATGGTATTTTGAAATTACATTGATAGTTAAATAGCTTCTAAAAGGCATACAGAACTTCAGCATATGGCGTACGACACCGTTAACATATAACACATACAGTAGTTTCGTAGTAACCACTGCCTTATATGGTAAGCGATTTTCGTGCGATAATCGAGATCGCGGGAAAGTGTCACTGTAAATGGGAATTTATATATGGTGTCTTAAAAGAAGTAGTTTCATTACGGAAAATAAGTTAAAGGTTTAATAGGATGTTATATACTATCAGGATAATATGTGACATCAAGGACTAGTTTCTACGTGCTGTCGGTTGATATCAATGAGATTAAATTGTCCGGCAATGGAGAAACCACCGAGGTAATCACGTAGATAAGGTTGATACTCACTCTTATTGGATTGATAAATAGTCCTACAAAAGAGAAGCAATGACTTCTGTTCAAGACTAGATTGATGAAATAGCGTAGGACATGTCCGGAATGTACGGACGAAATCCCAACACTTAAAAAGTGGAAATTTGACGCAAAAAGTGACGAAATTCACAACTTTCGACACAAATTTTCATACTGTTTAAGGTTAGTTGACAACGATTTTATTTTTTATATTGTTAGAACAGGTCAAGCTGCAAATAAAACGATTTCCATTTTTATCGCAAACCCTGCTCCAGTGGAGTTATCGCAATTTGAAGAAAGGGTATAATTCAGGTGTCTGCAGACACGTATTTTGTGTAGTGTCATGACACCTACGGAAAGAGAGGTTGCACTGGGTGATCATTATAATATGGTAGGGTGAGACCCGGACTATAATCACCAACCAAAACTTAGTTCGCCATTGGTCGATTAACGGCTATAGCAATGCTGGGGAGTAGGCTCGATGGGTCGACCAAACCCTGTAAATATGAACTCAATCAGCCGACCCGCACCTTCGAACCTTCTGCATGGTTTTCTCGTGGAATGGCTCTTAAGATCAATTTATTCTATGCCTAAGCATCTATCTGAAGCTCTGTATTGCATTCTCCAGTGTCAGATGAAACAAAATGAATGACATTAGGTTTATCGTCCTACGTTTGTGCTCTAGCTGGGTTCAAGATAGGTTGCCAGGCAACTAAACATACGCCCACAGCAGCCAAATCGTCCAAGCGGTCGACAAGAGTTGTCGTATATTTGTTCTTTTGTAGGTAATTAGGGGGAATTTAATAGACAATTTCATACAGATGACATTATAATTTTCGTCGTTTGAGGGTTCACAAGGTTCTAAAAACTAAAACAAGGGCTGTAACTCTGGAAGTAATCTATAGAAATTGTTGAAATACGACAGACTTTTTCAATTTACTAATTCAAATAATACATATCAATTTCATACAGATCAGATAACTTTTGTCGTTCGAACGTTCACAAGGTTCAACAAAGTAAAACAAGGGCCATAACTCTAGAAATAATTGACAGAAATTGCTGACATTCAATAGGCTTCTTCATTTCACTAATTTAAATGATGCATATGAATTTCTTACAGATTGGGTGATAACTTTTGTCGTTCAAGCATTCACAAGATGCAACAAAGTGAAACAAGGGCCATAACCCTAGATGTAATTAACGGAAATTGCTGAAATTCAATAGGCTTCTTTTTTTTACTAATTTAAATGATGCATATAAATTTCATACAGATCGGTTGATAACTTTTGTTGTTAGAGAGTGTTCACAAGAAGCAACAAAGTGAAACAAGGGCCATAACTCTAGATGTAATTAACGGAAATTGCTGAAATTCAATAAGCTTCTTTGTTTTACTAATCTAAACGATGCATATAAATTTCATACAGATCGGATAATAACTTTTGTCGTTAGAGCATTCACAAAAGTGAAACAAGGGCCATAACTCACGACGTAATTAACGGAAATTGCTCAAATTCAATAGGCTTCTTCGTTTCACTAATTCAAATGATGCATATCAATTTCAAACAGATCGGATGATAACGGTTGTCATTAGAGCGTTCACAAGAAGCAACAAAGTGAAACAAGGGCCATAACCCTAGATGCAATTAACAGAAATTGCTGAAATTCAATAGGCTTCTTTGTTTTACTAATTTAAATGATGCATATAAATTTCATACAGATCGGTTGATAACTTTTGTTGTTGCGTTCACAAGGTGCAACAAAGTGAAACAAGGGACTTAACTCCAGACGAAATTAACGGAAGTTATTGAAATTAAATAGGCTTCTTCATCTCACTAATGCAAACAACATATATCAATTTCAAAACAATCAGATGATGAATGTAGTCTGTAGAGTGTTCACAAGAAATTGTGGACTGTGGACGACGGACGCTCGGACGGACCGACAGACAGAGGGACGGGGGCGACGGCAATATACAACCACATTTCAATGTGGGCGTATAATAAAAAGGGGCATACGTAATGCAGTGTACATGAGGGAAATTCGGCACAGGCGGCAGTATTTCTGCCTCCTTTTCGTCAAATTCTAACTCCCATGGCTTCTTTAATGTACACACCAACATGTACATGTGACCATAATTATTTCCCTTATTCAATCGACTAGACATTGTTCCTTGCCAGGCTCTCCCTATTCTGTACAATTAACAAAGGGAAACAATGTAGGAAAAATCCTGAGGAACTTTCTTGGCCAACGCTGAGATTGAACCTAGGACCTAGTTAGTGGGCTATAGCTAGATCATCATTCTTTATTTTTATTCTCCACATTTTCTTAACACTAACCCATCCAATGAAATATTTTAGTTGAGCACACTATAAAAGGGGGGAGAGAGAGAGAGAGAAAGAGAGAGAGGGGGGGGTAATTATGTCCACCCAGACTAACATATGTTTCAATTTTATTTCAGTAATTCGCTTGCGTGTAGGGGTCTTTAGAAGTGGGAGGAAAACCCATAAGCTTGGACAGGCAACTCATGGTCACGTAGAAGTGGCGAATAAAAAAAACCCCACACCACCTGACTCAATGACTGACATTTTGATCCAATGTGCACGGCTAAATGATTCGGCCACCCAAACACCCCCAGCACTCTCTCTCAAGTAGTTACCTGTATAAACTCAATATTAGGCCTACATGTACATCTTCACATTTTATTATTTGATTTATAACTCAAACGAACTTTCACCCTGGATATCCCTGTTAACTACATAAAATACTTATTTCAGTGATCATAAAATATTCTTTGCTCAACAGAAGTACAATAGACTTTTGTAGAATAAAGCAGGAATGTAATGTTACATAGTGTTTTGTATATTACAATGCTTGATAAAATTTTAATCAAATAAGTCTTTTTACCTTTCCCACTGACTTCACGCCTTTACTTAAGGACACAAACGTTAGAAGCCAAGCAAATAATAAACATAAAGAAATCTTCCATTGAATAGAACCAATATCGTCAATACCATCAGAAATATTCAGTATATGGCTTCTGAAAATATTTTAGTAGTTAAGTGTTGATATTTTATTATTATTATTGTTATTATTGTACATTTTTATAGTGCATAACTTCCACAATTAAGCGCTCACATGCACTTTACAAAATATGGTACAAAAATTAAATATATACAAAAAAAATAAATAAAAATAGGTTGCCAGGCAACGAAACATACGCCCACAGCAGCTAAATCGTCCGAGCAGCTGACAAGGGTTGTTGCATATTTATTCTTTTGTAGGTAATTGGGGGCATTTACAAGACAATTTCATACAGATCAGATTATAATTTCTGTCGTTTGAGGGTTTACAAGGTTCTACAAACTGAAACAATTGACTCCATTTCACAAATTTATATGATGCATATCAATTTCATACATATCGGAAGATAATTTTCATGAATCAAGTATTAACAAGATTCAACAAAGTGAAAGAAGGGCCATAACTCTAGAAGTAATTACTGTAAATTGCTGAAATTCAATAGGATTTGTGGCTTCACTAATCTAAATGATGCATATAAATTTTATACAGATCAGATGATAACTTTTGCCGTTCACAAGGTTCAACAAAGTGAAACAAGGGACATAACTCTAGACGTAATAAACGGAAATTGCTGAAATTGATTAGGTTTCTTCGTTTCACTAATTTAAATAATGCATATAAATTTCTCAAAGATCAGATGATAACTTTTGGCGTTAGAGCGTTCACAAGGTTCAACAAAGTGATACAAGGGCCATAACTCAAGATGTTAATAACCGCTGAAATTCAATAGGATTCTTCTTTTTTACTAATCTAAATGACACATACAAATTTCATACAGATTCGCAGATAACTTTTGATGTTAGAGTGTTCACAAGGTGTAACAAAGTGAAACAAGGGCCATAACTCATAAGACATACATGTAAACATTGAAATCACCTTAAAATCATGTAACTTTCACTAATGCATAAACTATCATTACTATGCATAAATTAAAATGATGTATTACCGAGGAAAAGCCTCAAAGAATAGGCTAAGTGCATTTTTAAATTTTTCGTAAAGTAGGTGGAAAAGGTGATTTTGAGATTATGATTAAACATTTGATTTTATTAGCTTTTCAAGTATATCTCATCATTCTTCTTGAAAAACTTTTTACAGATTCAAAATCGGATGAAATTTTTAAAATTTTTTTTTATGGAGGCTCAAAGTTGCGATTTTTGACATTTCACGGAAGAAAGGTTTTTCAAAACTTTGAAAAAGTCATTTTTAGTGTGTTTTGTGATGCCATATTTCATTTCATATCAAAACTATCAAATATGTAGATGTAAATTCATGAAAAACAACTTTAAGGCTAATTATGTTTCAATTTTCACATTTGTGTAACAATTACTCTGATTTCCCCAGTAACTCCAAAATACATAGGTTTTCTCAAGATTCTGTTTTGTCAAAGTGATTTTGGTCAATTTTTTCATCAAAAATGGTCTTGTCCATGTTATATCTGAAATATTGAACCTGGTTGTTATGCATTTTTAAATCAGTAGCTCTCAAGTAAGATTAACAGAATAAGCCAACAGTGAGGCTGATGTCCCCCGCCGAAATCCCCAAATAAATAGATGACACATATTAATTAATCGCACATCTATTTTTTTCCAAAGTATCAAGCAATCAAACTGATTATCAACTATACACTAAGTTTCATCACTCTCTATCAGATAGAATCAAAGTTATCTTGTCCCAAAGCAGGAAATTGCTTATCTCTGCTTCGCTTTAGCTCGATATGTTAATCATTGAACTCAGTCAAGACGAACATCTACATCAAGTTTAAACATTCTACCTCAATTAGAAGAAGAGTTGTTATGTTCCAAAGTCTGGACCAATCAAAATGCTTATTGCTCGTTAGCCTAAGCAGAAAATTCTTATCATCGAACTTAGTCAAGGTATTGATGTAATGAAACTATACACCAAGTTTCATCACTCTCACTTAATTAGAACTAAAGTTATCGTGTTCCAAAGCATCAACCAATCAAATTGCTTATCTCTGCTTACCCTAAGCAGAAAATGCTGATCTTCACACTCCATCAAGGCATTGACCTCATAAACCCCTACACCAAGTTTGAACATTCAAGCTTAATTAGAAGGAGAGTTATCAGGGCTTGCCATGAGCAAATTGGAGGCGAGTAGATGACTACTCACGCAAATATAGACTTAGGCGAGTACATGTATTTACTCACGCAGAATGATGTGCGTGAGTAGCCATTTAAATTTCATGTGCCTAATGGCAATGCTCTCGTCACTTCGGTGGAAGCGGACGTTGAATAAAGCTATTTCACACACAATGACAATGCATACTCTTTTATTTCCTTGGCAGTAATATTATCTGTAAATCGTCTTCCCATGACAAGAACGTTGCAAGAGAAACTGGGCTTCCCTTTGCCATCGTTGGCGTGCTGAGGGGATTCGGGTAAAGCTTAGAAAGGTAAAAGAACAGGCAAAACAATTTCAATCCCATCAATTTGCAGAAAAGATGAGGGATCGAAAGAATTACTATTAATAGAAACGACAACATCCGCTCAATGTTTGATTATCCAGACACGGCAAAGGACATCCGCTTAAAAACCGCCTGGCAGTACGCGTCTCAAAGTATTTTTAGTAACAACAGTTGGCACTGGAAAGACACGCCGCGTGCGCAATAGTGCATCGATATGAAGGCATACAAATTGTTTACGGCTTTTTATATTACGATATTCAATTATTTCTGATTAAATTATTTTTTATATTTGCGCGAGTACTTAATCACTCACGTAAATTTGGTTTTACGCGAGCGTAGCTTGCGCGCGAGTAATTACTCGCGTCTCGTGGCAAGCCCTGGTTATTGTGTTCCAAAGTCTCAGCCAATCAAATTGCTTATCGCTCTGCTTACCCTGAGCAGAAAATGCTCATCATTGAACTTAGTCAAGATATTGATGTAATGAAACTATACACCAAGTTTCATCACTCTCATTTAATTAGAACTAAAGTTATCGTGTTCCAAAGCATCAACCAATCAAATTGCTTATCTCTGCTTACCCTAAGCAGAAAATGCTTATCTTCACACTCCATCAAGGCATTGACCTAATAAACACCTACACCAAGCTTGAACATTCTAGCTTAATTAGAAGGAGGGTTATTGTGTTCCAAAGTCTCGGCCAATCAAATTGCTTATCGCTCTGCTTACCCTGAGCAGAAAATGCTCATCATCGAACTTAGTCAAGGTATTGATGTAATGAAACTATACACCAAGTTTCATCTCTCTCACTTAATTAGAACTAAAGTTATCGTGTTCCAAAGCACCACCCAATCAAATTGCTTATCTCTGCTTACCCTAAGCCAAAAATGCTCATCTTCGAACTCCATCAAGGCATTGACCTAATAAACACCTACACCAAGTTTGAACATTCTTGGTCAATTAGGAGAGTTATTGTGTCCCAAAAAGTGTAACGGACGGACGGACGGACAAAAAAAAAAAAAGGTAAAAATATCTATATGCCTTCTGTCAAGAGCTGAATATATGTTCATTTTTGAACGATTTTCCGTGGCACACAATTGCCTATTTTTGGGGCGTTTTTGGGACATTAATAAAATATGAAGGAATGAACATACACAAGTGAAACTATGGGAATATGTCAAAAAGTTGTCATAGCAACCAAAATAAAAAAAATATGCAATTTTTGAACATTTTCAACGCCATTAACCATAACCCAAAAGGTCATCACCACACTTTGAAGTATGCAGTTTAAAATATTTGAAACCTATGTAATATCAAATGATATGGATTGTGTAAGTTTGAGAAAAATATGAAGAGTTTGGGTTGTTACCATAGCAACCAGTTATTTTTTCCAAAAAGCATTATTTTCCAATAATTATGACTCCAATACCCGGTATTGATAATTATATTATTTTAAAATCAGAAACTATTGGGCAAGATTTTAAAAATTAAATACCAGCGGCTGCCAGGCAGGATATGCCCACATTTTCGAGAGATGGATAGAGAACAAGCTAACAAGAAAGGGATTTTTCCTACAATCAAGGGCCATAATTCAGGAAATTACAATTTCGATATGCGCAAATATCGAAAGGAACTGAGATCTTTGTGTTATAAACTTACATTTCAAGTTTCAACAAAATCGGATAAAAATTGTGACCTCTATCGGGTCCACAACCTTGATATACCATATTTTTACGCTATTTCAGAACGAACTGCAGCCATTTTGTCTGTCAATTTAGGGCCGATTTTCACGAAATTCGAACTCAGTCGTCCTTAGGGTGTAACGGTGATATAATAATAAGTTTTTTTAAATCGGATAAAAATTATGACCTCTATAGGGTCTACAAGCTAAAAACTTGATTTTTCATACAATCAGGGGCCATAATTCAGGAAGTTACGGTCCGATATGCGTGAATATCAAAAGGATCCGAGATCTTTTGTCTGTCAATTTTTGGCCAATTTTCACGAAATTCGAACTCAATCTTCCTTAGGGTGTAACGGTGATATAATAATACGGTTTTTTAAATCGGATAAAAATTATGACCTCTATAGGGTCCACAAGCTAAAAACGCGATTTTTCGTACAATCAGGGGCCATAATTCAGGAAGTTACGGTCCGATATGTGCAAATATCGAAAGGAACCGATCTTTAGGTTATAAACTTACATTTCAAGTTTCAACAAAATCGGATAAAAATTGTGACCTCTATTGGGTCCACAACCTTGATATACCATATTTTTTACGCTATTTGAGAACGAAGGGCGGCCATTTTGTCTGTCAGTTTTGGGCCGATTTCCACGAAATTCGAACTCAGCCGTCCTTAGGGTGTAACGGTGATACAATAATACAATTTTTTAAATCGGATAAAAATTATGACCTCTATAGGGTCCACAAGCTAAAAACGCGATTTTTTGTACAATCAGGGGCCATAATTCAGGAAGTTACAGTCCGATATGCGCGAATATCAAAAGGAACTGAGATCTTTGGGTTATAAAC